CATGGTTTAAAATAATTACAGGAATAATCGACATACAAACACAGCAAACGAACCAACTAAAACTAAATATGCCAAACACATATACAATCAACAAACAGGAGATAACTAAGAACAAATGGCTAATCCGTGTATCAAAGAAAAAAGAAAACATCACACAATCCAGAGTAAAGCAGATTTAGGGTAATTGACAAACCTTATTGATATAAACGAAAATAATGAGATTTTAATTTAGTAGGGTACTATTCCAGGGGGATGCTTTATGCGTTGTATGGTACTAGGAAGGCTCATTAAAAGCCAGGGAAATAATAAATAATAACAGCCTCCAGATATACTAAATAAATTGACTATAAAGTTTATTTATAACTGGTGATTGTATCATGTTTAACCCTCTTACTTTTTTAAAAAATATAAATAGCTAAATTATTGCAAAACGTTTTTAAACATTGGCTAATTTTTTAATATATAATGATTTCATATAATGATTTCATATAATTTGCAAAGATTTTTAATACATATGATTTCATATAATTTGCAAAGATTTTTAATACATATGATTTCATATATATACATTATATTTTTATTAATTGAAAATATTAATGCTACTTTATATAATCCACCGGTTAGCAAATGCCCACAAGAAGATTCCCTTCGAAGATGCCTTAACCAACATCACATTAAAGGACTTATCAATTTTCGTGAAAACTTTGTTAGATATAATAAAGACATTAATTTTGAATATAATAGACTAATTATTAATTTTCCGGTAGCATTTATTCATGCTACAGATATATTAGACATTCAAAATGCTATTAAATGTGGAGTAGAATTAAATTATCCTGTTGTTGCAAGATCAGGTGGCCATTCTTATGAAAGCTATAGTCTTGGAGATAAAGATTGTTATTTAGTTATTGATCTTGCAGATTTAAATAAAATTACCATCAATATAATCTCACAAACTGCTATAGTCGAAACAGGAAATTTAATAGAATTATTACAATATGAATTAAACCAGTATGCATTTGCATTTCCAGCTGGAACTTGTTCTTATCTTGGAGTTGGTGGGCTTGTATTAGGTGGAGTAAGTATTGTAAAAAAATTTCTTGAGTAAATTTTATTTTAAATAACAAAACTTATAAATATTAACAGTTAACGTTATTTTTCAACAGGCAGTGGGATATCTCAATCGAAAATTTGGAACATTATCGGATAATATTCTTGATGCGCAAATTGTTTTAGCAAATGGGACAATAGTAAACAATGCTAAAGAATATCCAGAACTTTTCTGGGCTATTCGAGGAGCAGGAAATGTTGGTTATGGCATTATTACAACCTTAACCCTCAGAATATATCCCATTCAAAGGATCGTAACTTATTTTGAGTTTGAATACGATTTAGATCAGACACCATTATTAATCTCAGTAATTAATCAGCTAGGGAATAATCTTCATCGGAATATATCATTCTTGACTAAGTTGACAACTTTAACAACAATTCGTGGGATTTATCTAGGATCAGTATATGAAATGCAACCTCATATACAAGAATTTATTAAATTGTCCAAACCTAAAAGTGTGACATATTATGAAAATGCTAGAATCTGGACCAGGCTATTATAAAGCAAAATCATTTTTTTTTTTTTTTTTTTTTTTTTTAAAGAGTGAGACCTGATCTCAGTTTTTTTATTGATAACATTTTGTATTATT